TTGGAAAACTATATATTATTAGGTTATATATATATATTTTTGCTCATGGGCTGTTGGTAGTTTTATATCATGGTAATAAAAATATTTATAATTGTATATTAAAAAGCTAAGGCTGAAAAAAACCATATTATTTATTTTTTTCTAAAACTGACAAATTTATTAAAAGTGGGTTTGTATTGGGTTGTATATGTATTTTTTTATTAATGTTTGTATGTGGAATAGTTGTGTTTTTATTTGGGTTGCATCATCAAAAGAATATTTCATGAAGGCTATATAACCATGTATAAGTTTCATACTAATGAATAATAATAATACTTTTGAAGTACATTACAGTTAGTTCTAAAAAAATAATGTTACGGTTGCATAATATTGTTTTTTAGTAGAAGTGGTTAGTTTAAATGCAGTTATATTTTAAATTAGTCGCAACATTTATCAATAGGTCATACTGCTATTTTAATAGAATAGATTAAGGTAACATTTGTAATCATCTAAGCAATAAAAGATAGTAATGAAAACATTTCCTTTTTTCCTTCTTCTCTAGTTATAAAGATCTCCTCTCCAAAAAAAAGATAATAATATATAAGCCCTTTTTCAAAAAACAAAAACAAAAAAGATCTCCTCTCCATAAAAATCCATGTTCTTAAAATCTCACTTCTTCTCTTCAAACAATTAAACACTTTCTCTATCTTTATTAGAACTAGTTGCATACTCCCCACACAAGCGCGGGGCCGAGATCATTATGTTTACGTGTATTTTTTCGATTGTTGGTTTAGTGGATTCTTCTAATGACACCAAATAATAATGAAATGAAAAATTTCATATTTTTATATTGTATGTCAAAACTTGATATAATTCTATATTTATAGTATTTATATTTGTATTAAACTATTTATCAATTTGAAAATAACCTTAATTAAGTTAATATTCGTTGTTGAAGTTTCATTAGATAGGTTTTTGTCGTAAGTGGATTTTTTGATACGTCATAATTAAAAAAACGAAGATATTATTATCAATTTGTTTTATTTATAAATAAAACATAAACCAAATTTAAGAAACAGAAATAAAAAAAAATTACTAGTTATTAATAATATTAATATTATATTATTAATATGAAAAACTATTAGTAATAAAAACAT